CAATATGTCATGCAATCTCAAAAAAAATAAAACCTTATGTGTACCTGCCCAATAAGGTGGGCACTCAAAAAGCCACCATGGGAACCACCAAACACAGCAATTCTAGGTGGTTCAGCCAGTTTTAAGCCAACAACATGATCTATTGCCGTAAGCACATCATTGACGTCCTGCAGATAAAACTTTAGTTTTGATTTCTTTCACTTTGTTGGTATATGGTCACAATATCCATAAAGCGATAGAAAGTTGGTGCCGTGCAAATAAGGAATTGGAATTCAATAATGAAACAGGACCTGTGATCCAACATTCCCGGGAAGAGACTGCAGTGCTTCTTCACCAAATCCCAGAGAGCCTCTGTGATAGGATGCAGGAAGTGGCATAAAATAAATGTCAGTAATGCACAAGGCTCACTTGATGACCCAACAAAAGAAGTTAGCTACAAGCAATTGAACTGCTATTTGGACATTACTAGAAGAATGCCTGACCCGATATCTTGTACTCGTATAAAATCAAGGCATACTGGTTAAGAAGATAACAAATGTAACCACTATAATGAATAGAGGGGAAGGCTTCCAAGGAAATGATATACATAACTGTCAATATTCTCAATGCAAGTACTTCAGACAGGCTCAAGCTGGAGTTAAGGCTTTAATCATTTTTAGCTCTTACTCAGGGTTGGGGTTGTGAAAACATAAGTAGATGGTCGAATAAAAACATGTTTACCGATAATTAACTATTAATAGATTATATCCAGTTGATGCCAAAAATGCCAATGTCTTTGAGAACTTTGATGTTGCAACATCATGAGGACCTCCATGAAGAACTGTGATCAATGGATTACAAATGTCGTTCTTTGCAGTTGAGGAGACAAATATAGCTTCAAAAGGTTTACTCGCTCCTGTTAAAAAGATTCAACATGAAGAAACGAAAACAGATAAATCATGCACTGGAAGATAGATAGTCGAAGCAGCAGAGACAGATCACAATCTAGAATTTTGCATTTTCGAAAACTGAAGGAAAAATGCAGGCATTTGAACATGCATATTGCTAGCTAGTAATAAGATGGTAATTTGAAAACAACAATGTATCAATTCCAAGCATCAATGTTGACCTAACAGATAAACTCCAAGTGAAAATCATCCATGCAACTAAGCAGAAGACAGAATTTGAGATTACCTTCTGTACTGTTTTCTGAAATAGATCTTACTGGAATCTTCATTATACAAAATTGAAGGGATGAGAGGCAAGATGAAACCTGTAAAGGATTATACCACAAGATGTATCTAGAGTAATCTGTATCGAGTTATGGACTGTATGCATAAGAAAATCACTGTACTTGTAAGTATTAGTCAGATGAGAATGAGGATATAGACCTCCTTGGAACATCTGAAGAGGGGGCTCGGAACATCTTGCCAATTCCAAGGGGCATTTGGGACTTGCTCCTTAAGAAGACGACCATACTTGATTTGAGGAATATCTACAGGGCTGCTGCATACTTCAAAATGACTAACAAGATGAGTTGTCTTATTGTTAAGCAGTTACAGAGACTAGAAATAGATATCATTATACAAACCGGCAATGATATTATCCTCATCAAGCGAAAGAAACTCCCATGAGGAGCTTGAATCATGAGGAGTAATGCGTGACAAGTTCCCACTGCGGGATTAAAAAGATGCATTATTAGCTGAAATTTTTCATATTAAGAAGACTGAATGTTTAAGTGGAATCAGAAACCTCTCTACATCCACAGAAAGTATCACTTGAGTGCTCCTCCAGATCGAGGATAAAATCATAGTACGCTTATCAGAAAGCCATGGATTAATGAGGATGCTGGGAAAATATAGTCCAGGGAAGCAGCCATTCTCCGCAGACATTACAACAGGAACCTATGATAGTGAGACGAAACATTCGCGATGTTAATGTGGAACAGAGAATTATCACAACATAGATGACACCAATAACTCTCTAAAAAAGGTAACATATTAGATTATTAGACAGTATTGTTCGTAAATTACTCTGTCCGTGAATAACATAATTAGATTATTAGACAGTACACAATACTTTATCCAGAAGGATACTCCACGAAGTACCCATACTAAATTTTGCAAATCACAAAACAATGCGCACAAGGGAAGAGACGGAAGAAAAGAAAGAACTATTATGATGAAAATTCAGACTGTCATGAACAAACTTGATATTGAAGACAAAAAGAGCTTTTCGATGGAAACTCAAAGAGTGCCATGAACAAACTTGATATTGAGGACAAAACGACCTTACCACATCAACAATTTGTAGCGCATTTGGCTTCCCATCACTTTGCCAATCAGCTCTATGAAGTGAAAATATGGCATTGTGTGCTCCTGATTCCACAGCACTTTTGGCTGATAAGAACACAAGAAATCTCCCATCTGGGCTGTCAAAACAACAGAAATACATTCACTTGGCATCCATGTATAATACACACTACAAATAGTTTATATGTCTTTCACTAGCTTTGTTAATCTAAATCTGAATCATAGCATAAATCTAGACGATAAAACTGACATATATACACAGGACAGCTAGCATAAACCAGTGCTATGCTACACCTTAAAGCGCCTTTAACATTTCTAACAGATCCAGTGTGCACTATCCAAGCAAGCATCGGTGTGAAGAGTTATTGCTCAAGAATAAGCACACACTAGTAGTTAAAGCTAAGTCTGAGTCTTTGATACATGAACTAGAGCCAACATTCAACAATAAATCAAGACACAATTTAACTGGCAAGACATGAAATTTAATCATACCTAAAGCGTGGACAGAAGGCACTGCTAATTCCTTTTGTCAACACAACTGCATTGGAGTCATCATCTGCATTTGATCTGCTTAAACAGAAGAACAGAATAGATGTATGATAAAGAAGAAACCTATAGATACATATTCTCTACATTGATATAATGAAAATAGCAACTCACTTGAGATCAGATTTGATATCTTCTAATTTGTTGAAAGGACACGTTACAGCATATAAGGCACATGGTCTATTAGTACAGTATTTCATGCCAAGTTTTCTTGGTTCTGCGGACCACCCAACAACTACAAGATGTTGCTGTGAGGCAAACGTTGCTGGAACCCAAACAACCTGACCAACACTGAGTGCCTTATTGATTCCTTCAACAGCACGCACCTCTCCACTGCACAATAAATAAATAATCGAACTTTTATATCCTCCAAGAGCAGAAGTATTCAGCTTAATAATTAATTTCGATATCAAAGCCAAATCAAAAGGTGACTCAGTACCTGTTAATATCAATAACAAAAATTGCAGGGCACCTTTTTTTCACATATGTTTCTCCCCATCCCTCCTCCCAGTCCCCTTGGCCATCCCAGCTGTTACAACTCTTATTGGAGGTGCTCGTGCTTGTATATCCAAAATTATTGAAGGTGGGCTTTAAAGGGGTAGGCTCCTCAGCAACATATGCAATGAGTGTTTCATCGAAGTTCCAAGAAACACCCTCAAACCTGTCAGTTAAGAGAAATGAACAATGAGCATAGGAATAAGAAAAGACTTGTGTTCCACCACATAGCCCTACGTCTAAACTCATAATGCAGAAGTCAAATTACCATGCATCCGTAAATAACGATCCATGAACAGCCTGAGGTACAAGAAACTCCTTTTCCAGATCTGAAGGGCCCCAAATCTCAAATTTAGTAGGAGAGTCATCATCAGAATTTCGAACAATGAGAAGCTTTGAACCGGAAGGTGAAGGCAGTATTGTGGATGCCCCTGACACCTCAACAGGAAAGGGTGACCATTGAAAATCCACTGGACTAGTGCCACTCACATGAATAGTAGCAGACAAGATAAATTTTCTGTTACTATTAGCAAGAATATTGGGTTGGCTAGCAGAATATATTGCCTTAGAGTCATTTCCTGAGCAAATTTGCATTATGTGAGCAAAATAAACATAGATCAACATAAACAGAGCAAAATTAATGAAACCATCATATTTTTATTATGTCTTTATAATCGAAAAAGAATGCAAAGAGGATTAAAGTCATCTGATATACAATCAGTGGCATGCTGAAAGTCATATTACTACCTGATTTGCAAACCCAAGCCTTCTCTATTTTACTGATATTAACGAATTCCATCAGCAGTTTAGACAGACTAGCATATTCTTCCTTCATGGCCGAGTGAGTTTCCTCGTACATCTTCTGCTCCCTTCGACTTACAACAGCTACTAAACAATATGGAAAGTTCATGTAACAGAACTAACGATCAGTGATACCAAGACAGCATCAGAAGCGTAAATAATAATAAATAGATACAAGAATAAGATTTATTAGTAACTACCTTTTAAAACCGATCTAAGCTGATATGGCTAAGATAGAAAAGTCAAACTCGAGTAAGATAGCGCAACTTAAACTTTTTGGCCCTTGGGCTAACCATAATGCTTTGTGCAAACACCAGCTCTTAGTTCAGCACTTCAGCATAGCACAATATAGGAGTCTTTACAGTACTTAGTTAGAAAGAGAGTGAGAGAGAGTTGGCAGGGTGTTGAACCAGAACCACTCAAGAGTGATTATTAGATGAGAGTGGGAATATTAAGGGTCTACTCTTATGGTTATATTAACAAAGAGATGGGATCGGGATTGGAAATAAAATGATTGTTTTGCCATCAAAGATGAGACAAGAGTTGGTATATTTGTTTTTATGTTCCAGATCACATATTCCTGCTCTTTAATTCTCAAACTCCCATCACGAGTTAATAAAGACTTCAACTTAAACTAATAGAGTACTCAAACCACCATTAAGTGTAGCTATAATTGTTTTTTTTCCTTGTTTGGAATAGAGGGTCCATCATCATCCATGCGGAAGTACTCAGATAAGTGATAAGTGTAAATCTCAACCACAGATGTCCCAATTTTACTGATGTCATCTCCTGCCTATAAGAAGAGTTTATCAGACCATCATGACAAATGGTTTAAATGGCCACTTACTTTGAAATACGAACAATTTATGCCTTATAATGATATGCTTTCATTCAACTAGTTTAAAAATACAACAGATAATTGATTTACACACACAAGTGACGTGTATTATTACACCAGAGTTTTCTATAACATGTAGATCAAATACTGTTATACACTGAGATGAAAATACCATCTCTGCTGGAATAACAGGTACACGAATCCTATTATACATCAAGAATATCTGCCGTCAAAAATGCTCTAATTGTACATTAAACACAAAATAAGGAACATATATACAGACTTCTAAGTACCTATGTGCGCTGTGGCCTTTGAATGGCAAATTTAGATCACATGCTTACAGCCAGCTCTTGCAAACTCAAAGTCAAGAACTATGGCTGTACTTAACAGAAGGCCAGTGAATGAAGTAGCACCAGTGAAATTGAAGCTGCTTTTGCTTGAAAATATAATTCCAAATCAAGAATCTTCAGTCTTAACTGGAAGCCAGCTATTCCCAGAAGCAGGAGTTTCTTTTCTTGAACGTGAAACAAACCCAATAACATATCCGACAAAAGCACCAAGTAGCAAGACACTCCCTCCCTTTACAAACTGGGAGAAAATGGGTGATGCCATTCCACCTTCTAACACTGTGTCAGGAAACTCTGTTTTCTCACCACTAGCAGAACCACTACCACTAAAAACTTCTCCAGTTGCCAGAATCTCCACTGTATCATGCACTTCTCCATCATGATTTCCCACATAAGAAAGCGTCAGCTTCTTCTTTGTGGCAACAAGCCTAGTATAACCAAATTCACCCCCGCGATATATTGACCTCTTTGGCTGTGGAAATATCGGAAGGTCAGTGTGTTCTGGTCTTGGTTCCCAGATAGGCTGCCAGTCCTGCCCAGCCATTCCAATCACAACATGCACAGGATATCCACCTTGCTTCGGCCCAGACGAGTCAATTTCTCCACAGGTGAAATTGTTCAATGGACAAAATCTTTCATACCTATGGACATGACCCCACAAAGCAAGAGTTACATTGTTCTTCACAAGTAGAGGTTCCAGGTGCTGCTGCATTTTTTCTCTTAATGGGGTATCCCTAATCTCATTACTTGTTGTGTACATAGGTCGATGCCCTTGGACAACAACAAATGGTGTCTTCTTCCTATCGACATTTTCTAAATCATGCTCCAGGAACTTGTACTGAGCACTTCCCTGTAGGAAATTGGTCTCGGTTGAAAAATATACAAAGTGAACAGACCCCATATTAAATGAGTAATACAGATTCCGGGTGGCTGGTGCACGAGTCCCAGTTGAGAATGAAGAGTTTCCAGGCATTTTGAATCTGAGACTGTAGGGTACACCACATTCACCACCTCCATCCTTTGCATAAGCTGCCCATTCTGGTTTCCAGGGTTGTTGAGGCCAATCATATTCATGATTTCCAATGCAGACATGATAAGCCATCTTGGAGGCAACAGGCTCGATCTGGTTAAAGAAGTTGTCCCATATCCAAGCATATCCTCTTGCATAGCTAATATCTCCGATATGTGATACAAACGCAGGCTTGTTCCCAAGAGCTTCTATGTCACGGAGGATCCATTTCAAAGTGGATATGCTTTCATCTTGCGTGCGGATAAAGGTTCTATAGGGTGTCGCAGTTCCCATATCTCCAAACATAAAAGCTACAGTTTCATCAGAATCCTCATTTCTTGAGACAAAACTATAGGTAGGGCTCCAACCCCCTGAATCACTCCCGACCTTCGTTCATCAAAAAGAAACAAATTTAGTGACATTACTGACCTTATAACATAGAATAAATTGCATGAATCTCAAAGATAGCAGTCAAATCAAAGCCATGAAAGCTGAATGTAAAGATCAATTTATCTTAATACTGCAAGGTGCTCTTAAAAAGCTTCCATATGACATAAACACAAAAAACTTCACAACTTAGAATAGGGTCTAATCGATCCACCAGCTAACTTTGCCAATTGATCAGCAACTATTTTGCACAAGAAGTACATGTAAGGATTAAAGTGTTCAACTAACTTGCAATCAACCCACAATAGCAATGAACAAACAAGCATAACAATCAAGAACAACTTTGAAGGAATTAAAGCAAGTAAAAGGAAGACAATGTTACCGTGGGAAAACCCGAGAACCGGGAGAAAAAAACCCACCCTTGCACTATGGAGTAATATTGATGATGAATGAACTCAAGAATTACAAGCATGAATTGTATAGAATTCAAATGCTCCTCACAAACCCTCTCAAAACCTCTCTATGTGTTTAAATGTTTGTGAATACTCAACAAAGAGGCTTAGAAAAGGTATATATAGTCTAGGTAGAAAATACAATCCAACGGCTAAGATTAAAGCAAATCGCACAAGCCGAAAACGAAGCGACGAAATAGGGAGCAGGGAGGTTCGGCCGAACCTACCCAGAGTTCGGTCGAACCTAGGTTGGTTTGGTCGAACCTCCTTGGGTTTGGTCACTCCTCCTCTAGAAATGTAAACTGGTGCACCTACTGACTTAAAACCGGGTTCGACCGAACTTTTCACAAGTTTGGTCGAACCTTAACAATAAGGCAGCTTCTATACAATCTCCTTATGTCTCCATGTATTTATCTATCTCCACACTAATCCTAACAGTACACTTCTATGAATTTAAGTCGAAGTCTATATTAGTTTCCGAGATTGATCAATCTAACACACATGATTTTAACTCCAGCGTAGTAAGAAACAACTCCATATGGTTAAAATATTAGCTAAACTCTCCCAACAACTTACAAGCACACCAAACCAAATATCAAACTAGTAAATTTAGCAGCAAAACATGTAATTTAACTATATGTTCTTTTCGAGAGCACGATGCACATCATACTCAAGCGGTCGTGCACGATCAAATTAGCAACTAACAACCAATCATATCATCTTATATATCTAAACCAAGAAAACTAACATTAAAGCACTGAATTCAATAAAAATAAAACAAACATAAATATGAATTATTATACCTTATAATAATATCTCTTCCCTTTCTTCAAATTAGTCATAACCCCATTAAAAATAAACCCAGGATCTCTCCACCCAACACTCTGATTAGCAGGACCATCACACATATCCTCAACTTGATACCTCTCCGCCGCGGTCGCCGCCACTTGTCTGACCTCATCTTCCTCTTCACCATACTTCACAACCCGCTCCCCACCATCCCCCGCCACAAACACCACCCTCATCTCATCCTCCCTATCAGTAAACCCCAAATGGACCTGCTCCGGCCCATTAAGCCTCTCAAAGGACACTTCCTTGGATTGGGCCAGGAGGTGCTTGGTCCTTGGCAATGGGTTCCTGTCATGGTCCATTTTTGTGGAGTCCACTTCCGATTGGACCCATCGGAAGATCCGAAACTGATACGGGTGTCGGAGATTGATCAAAGGAAATGAGATTGACCCGAACCCGGATTTCCATGTTGATGAAGAATTGAGGAAGAAGTACCCGATGAAATGATGGTGGTGTGAATCGGGTGGGGAGTAGAGTCCGACCCAATCGAGCTCAGATGGGTCGGATATATCGGACCATTCAAGCTTGATTGTGTCGCCGGATTTGGAGAGAGAATCTGGGGTTACAGTGATTGTGGGTGTTGCGATTGAGAGAGAGAGGAGAGAGAAAATGAGGAGAATTTGGAGGTGGGTGATCATGGTGATGGGGTTTTGAATTGAATGATTCAGAGATGATGGTTGAGATTTGAATTGAATTGGCTAATTTTGGAATTTTTATTCAGATCTCATGAACGAATTTTGGGTTTGATTTGAGTTTAGGTAGGGTGGAAAGTGGAAAGTGGTGAGTCAATTGTCAAGAGTGTGATAGGTTGGTTAATCACCAATGAATCTTGTATATTCAGCAATGTGCTTGGCATATTCTTTTTCTAATCAAAATCTAAGTCCTAGGGGTATTGGGGGGAAATAAAAAGAAATTTCAAACTTTATCGGATATGCAACCTTCGCATTAGATATATTGATGGAACGGTGTTAAGCTCAATCAACGCTTGTGTACGGGATGTCTTATTGGCTAGATGATCAATTACGCTCAAACCACAATTAGAATCATAAATCTTACCGATTCTATTCCTCATTGGCTCATCTTCTTAGTCATGTGGACAAACACCTTAATCTATGTCGACATTCACCTTTATCCAATTGATAAGCATCGAGGGACACCTTTAAGTGACACGTACTTTCTTACATCCTACATTTTATGAATGCCCTACACCCTCACATCACATATACAAATTATTACTTCTTATAAGCATCTAAATTTTATTCTCTATCAAGCATAGTTGACTTTAACCATTGGAGCGAGTTTTAAAAAACAAAATAACCAAGAGTAATTGACATAGATGATTGTGCAAGGATCAAACCGGAATAAAGAGGCATATCGACCCCAAACACAAGCTCCCTAGCTAATTAATCATTCCGATAACTTTTTGATTGATTGCTCATTATTTTATGGATGATATGAATTTAAGTTACTTAGAAAATAAGTACGTGAAATACGAAAAAAAGGATAAAAAAAAATAGTGGTATCTTATCAGTTTATGATCTGATCTCTCGACCATCCCTGTTTATCTTATTGATAAACAAAATTTGTTTCTAGTGGAAAGTTTGTAAATATTTAGCTATGTAAATGTTGGTCAATGTTTAGCTTGCTAAAAACAGTAAAATAGAAGAAAAACAAAGGAGAGGCATATAAGTTGTGTCTCAATGGCATGAGACTTGGTTTCTTTCACGCAATAGCTTCTCCGTAAGACCACCAGTTTAACTCTCCAATAATTCCAGTGCTAAACGACATCAAATTGTTGGCCTGCCTTTCTTCTTCTTACCATTGTTGGCCTGCCTTTCTTCTTCTTCTTACCATTTATAGGTGTAAAACTGGATACTTTTTTGCATTAGAACTAATTAAAGGGAATATTTTTATTTTATTTTATTTTATTTACTACATATTTATTTATTTTTACATTAAAACACAAATTAAAACTATGAAGACGTAAATACAAAGTATTAGAAAAAGCAGTTAAACTAATTTGGAAATTATTACATAGTGATAATGAATTACATAGTGATAATGAATCAATTACCTTCCCTTATAAGTTTTTTTTTTTTTTTTTTTTTTTTTGAAAACACCTTCCCTTATAAGTTCAACATACCTTGAATTCGATAATTTTTTATATGAAGTACTTCCTCCGTTTTTTTTTTTTTTTTTTTTTATAGTTGCAACACTTTGACTTTTACACTATTCATGTGTTTCACTTTGACGGTTTATATTTTAGTAAAAATATAGTCATGTGAGATCTTGTTAGATTCGTTTCGACTTATACAATTTTAATATCAAATGTACATAATTTTTACATATTAGAAATTAAAGATATTAACAATTGAAAACATGCATCGGCAAGCGTGAAAAGAGAAGTGTTGCAGCTAATATAAAAAAATAAAAAAAATAAAAAAGGTGGAAGTATGATTTTATTTTAACCTTAATAAGTACCCCATGCATCAGCAATTCAGCACTCGTTAGAAAAACTAAAACATTAGTCTTTTTTAGTAACACAAGACCTATGCAAAAGAATAAGCATATAACTTACTAAAAATTAGTATGAAAAAGGGAATAATAGTGATGTATTCGACATTAACTTTTATTTAAATAAAATACACCTTTTGACTTTAAATCTAAATTGTAGAGTTTGACAAAAATCACGGAGTATAACATCTTTTAACTTTTAAATGGCCTAATAGTTTTTTCATAAAATTAACAAAACTAAGTTTATAATGTATGATGAGCCTAGTTACCTACGGACTTTAATTTAGTTATTTAAATACTACATAATTAATTTTAAATTACAATTAACGTAGTTTATTATTATTATTATTATATTGCTATTGCAACAATTAGTTTGTGTCAAACTTGTATATATCAAACATCCGCTCTCAAATCTAAGAACAGTAAACTAGTTTAAAACTAATATCTACTCTCAAATTTAAGAGCAACTCGTTGACAACTAGTAACTATTATCACATCATAACTACACCCATAGTTATTGTATACTTCTACAATTAGCTTTGTCAAACAAACAAGACCTAAAAAAAACACCATAAGGGTTGAGGTACGGTTAGTCGATCATCAGGGTCCTTCTCCTTACCTTAAAAAATTTTTTTTTAAAAAGGAACAAGACCTAAAGTTATCTTTCATTATGATTATGATTATTAACTTAGTTGGCAACACTAACATATATTTAAAAGATAAAAGATAAAAAACAAGAATACATTAATCTTGTTAGGAAAAATAATAAAATTAATTAAAAAGACAAAAGGAAACAAATTAAATAATTTTAGGGTTTCCCCACTTTTGTTTAAGCTAATTAATCAATATATGATAGGATTATTGAACACCGAGTAAACAAAATCATCGTACAGCTATAAAAACAAGAAAGACAGAAAAATACCAAAGTCAAAATACCACTTTATATTCAAAAACCGTGACAATTCAACGAACAACAAACAACAACAAACTACAAACTCCCTTATTTTTTCTCTCTCTAAAATCTTCCTTACTTTCTCTCTCTACCTCCTTCTTCTTCAACAAACAATGATGATGACGAACAAGATCTTCCTCCTCTTCACAACCACCATAATCTTGATCTTCAACTTCCCTTGTTCATATTCTCTCTCCTCAAATTCAAACACTCTATTTCTTGAACCCTCTTCAAGACTATCATCATCTTCGCCTTCGCCGCCTCCGCCGCCGTTTCGACATCGTTACTGTGAATCTTTCCCGTCTAAATACCCACCTGCAATATGTAACACTCAGTTCCGGCAGTACCTTATGTTCCCTCCTCCTCCACCACCATTGTTGTCGTCGTCGTCGAATCATGTGTCATCCTCCGAGATCGACCCACGTTTCGGTGTCGAAAAACGGCTTGTTCCTAGTGGTCCTAACCCTCTTCACAACTGATCCACCAAGTAAAAACGACGTTGTTTTGATCTTTTCTTAATTTTTTCATATTTTTTAGGTAATATTTTGTGTTAAGTTGAGTTCTTGATTTAATGCGTACGTAGGATTAGGGCGGTATGTCACGTACTTAATTTACGTACTGCCAAAGAAAAAAAAAAATTATACTACGTAATAAAAGTTCGTGTTTTTGTTTTATATAGTTTTTTTTTTTTATAATTTTTTTTTATCATCTACCCTATATGCCCTAGCATACATCCGGCCGGGTTCGGAATTAGGATCGATCCTCTCGAGTTCTTTTCTATCCGGTCGAGTTTCTTGAACCCGTGCGCGTTCGTAGATTAAATCAATATGGTACGGGTGGAGTACATGATGTGGACGCTATTTCCAAGCTTGTTTCTGTAAATTCAAAGTTGAGCAAGGGAAACAATAATGGAAATGGTACGAGTTATTTTTTAAAAAATTTTGATTTTTAAGTATTTTGTTATTAATTTTAGTTAATTTTTAAAAATTGGTGTAATTGAGAAGATCAGAAGATTCTCATGGGGTTCCATAAATTTAGGAGGGTGGAAGTAGTAAATGTACAAGTTAGTAGAAGAAGGTAGTGGCGATGAGAGAGTTAGGATCTTGTGATTAAAAGGACAATTTTGTCTTTTTATTTTATTTTCTATTTTTTATTTTTGATTTTTAGTTTATGATCTTCATGAGGAGCTCATTGTGGCATTTAATATTATCATGTAAAGTTCCTTTTTTTTGGGTCCATATATCCAGTGTACTAATGATATTATTAATGATGATGCAACTTCAATTCTTACTTTAATTCGTATACTCCTATGTTTTCTCTGTTTCTAAATTATTAAGTTTAGTTTACTTAATTAGCTCGATGTACTTATGTTAATTGCGTTACAATAATGGCATAGCTTAAAAATACTAGGTTTGTCAAATGCCTAGCTTGTACGAAGTACATCCTTATTAGCTTCATCGATCTATAATCAGTTGAAGCATTGTTCATGTTAACTACGTATACATTGGATTAAATTATTATGACTAATAATAATAAATTAAATTACGGGGTATTAGACAATATACAATGAAGTACATTATTATGACTAATAATAAATTAAGGTCTAGTAGAACAATAATGGAAAATGTTGGGTCTGTGTTTGTGTGGCCAATAAGTAATTTAAGGAGTACATGTATGTACACCACTAAAGAGAGTGTATTGAGTGAATTCAAGAAAAACTTGTGCAAATGCCATAAATAGTTTTGTGATTAATGACTTAGTTTGCCAATCTATATTTTCCTTCTAGTGCGTTCATAATCACGGAAAGGTATTTTCCCTTTTTAGTAGAATTAGCAACGATCGAATTATATTTAGTCCTTTTAAATGACAAATATGTTGAAAATTATTCATATATACTCAGTATTATTCATCTATCCCTGCCATATTATCTTTTAGATTTCCCCCCCCCCCCCTAGAAATAGCTAAACAAATTTATATAACGGTTGTTTTTGCGTGAAATTTATGTCACCTAATTTGACGTATTATTTGTGTTAATTAAGTTCCAAAATTTCAACACAAACCTCTTCTATCTGGCCGGTTTATTCAATTAGCAATTGTGATGTGGGTTAACTTTTAATTTAGTGACACTAGTTAGTGTAATCATCCTGATGAAACAGTGAAATTAAATTAGAATGCAGTGGTCATTTTCTGAAGTATAATTTGGCTTCATGATCTCAAACATACTTTAGTGGCTAATTCAATATTCCACTAGTATGCCGACTAATAAGTCATTAGATTTTGTTCACCATAGTTCTTAACATAATAGGAACTCGAAGTGCAAATTCGTACATACGAGTATAATTTTGGTTTGCTAATTGTTGTGTGTTGTGTGTTGTGTGTGTATGAGCATTATACCAATGTTAGTTGCCCAGTGTTATACACTTGTGGATGTCATTTAGTTTAATTGGTTGAAATATTGGACGTGATATATATCTAAGGCTTGAGGTTAAATTTCGTTTATATCATTTTTCTATCCACTAACAATAGTAATTGCACAAGATGATGTACGACATATACCTGTCATTTAATCTAGTTTTGCCATGACAGTAGTAGACATCCACATTCAACTTTGTAGTACTTTCACTGTGAGAAATCAAACGACTTAAATCAAGCATGAAAGTTGTGATATATGAAGTACTACACTTTAAAAATGGGCCATATTTTCACATCCTTGCAATCGCATGTCAGTTTCCATTTTTATTTGTTGCATGAACTCCTACAATACCTACCTTTTCTAAATCTATGAGCAACAAATAACAAGATGTAATTGTAAATGCAAATGCCAAGGCCAAGGGTGATAATCTTCTTGTCGTTAATATTTTGCAAGGTAAGGTCCAGTGCCATTGGATGATAATATGATATTAAGGAACTTCTTGCCATATATCTATCGCAAAGCTAATGGTGTAAAATATTATGTTGCATCTTTGGGTCATTTTAGACATGCTCTTCAAAATATTGGCACACGATAAGTGTATAACTAAAGTAAACCAAAATTATTGGCACACGATAAGTGTAGTAAAATCAAATCCGTTATTAATTAAGGAGATATACGACACCTACGAATGAATACTAAATTAACAAACACATACTCGTAGAAAATTGATCAAAAAAATGTGCTTAAACTAATGGTTGAGGTCCGAAAATGTTTTATACTCTATCACGCCCCCTCACATGAGAGCCCTTTGGGCTTGAAATGTGGATTCAGCATGGGCCCTCCGCATACCCTGCACGAAATATTTCACTTGAAAGTGGGGGGTGGATGAGATTTGAATCCGTGACCTTTATGTCACGCTGGCTCCGATACCATGTTAAAGGACCAATTCAACCAAAAGCTTAAATTAAGCTGATGGTTGAGGCCCAAAAATATGTTTTATACTCTATAAAAAAACTACAAGGTTTACAACACTAGAAAATTTATCCTTTTGCATTGTGGTATAACTCTTGTGATTCATAATTATATTTTTGAATGCATTGTGGTACAATTCTCGAACATATCAATGAAATATGCTTTCTTTTAGTAGGCCTAACAATTAAACCCAAAAATAAAATAAAAAATCTTGGCGCAACACGAAAACAAAATTTCTAATTTTTTTACTCAAAAAATTGGTTTTTAGCACCAATTCTTTTAAAAGTTTTAATTTATCACCACAATAAAAAACTAAAAATTGGTTTTCACCCCATCTAATGGAATCCATCCATAAATCCGTTAGTAGGGCCTACTATGTACACGTGTCACTAAGCTATTGGGTAAAAAGAGAGAGAGAGAAAAAAAAAAAAAAAAAAAAAAAAAAAAACTAAACACTAACCCAACCACCACCCCCACCATTAGCACCCTTACCCCCCACCGTCGGCAACCCCTGCCCCATCCCACCCCCACCGTCGGCTTCCCCTTGCCTGACCGCCAGCACCCCCTAAACACCCCTCCCTTTCCCCTGAAAAATTATCGAGATTTAACACACTTGGGAACATCTAGAAATTGTGTAACCTAATAAGTCAATAACCGACTTTTACGAGAAAATCCAAGTTTATTTACGTAGTTGAAAACATTAAAAAAAAATTGGCCCTTAATTTACAATTATTGTTTATCAAAAGAGATAATTGAGACTTCCTCGAGTTTTAGTACTAGAGGTGGGCATGGGTCGTGCCTCGCCGTGCCTAGTGGTGGCTCGTGTCGGGTCGTGTTGTGCTTGCTTCTTGGCGGGCCGTGCCGTGTCGGGCCACCATTTGGCACACCCCAGCCCACGGCACGGCCCACGTGCCTGGCGTGCCGTGCTAGGCCTGGCAGCGGACCGCCCACTTTTTTTTTTCTTTTTTTAAATCGATATATTTAAATATTTTATTAATTTATGTTTTTTTATTATTATATTATTATTGTTCTTTATATTTTTCTTATTTTTATTATGTTAGTTCTTTTACTTATTTATTATTATTTATGTTATTTTTATTATTAATATATTATAATTAATTATATTTTTTTATTTATACATCTTTATTATTATTTAGCAAAAAACAACAATGCATATAATTAAAAAAAATTGACTAGTGCGATAACACAAGAATTGATGAATAACTTATTTTCTTATACGCCGGTATGATAAATCGATAATAAAATAATTGATAATGATAAAAATCGTACAATAATTGATGAATAACTTAACTTTATTGCTTATTTTATTATACGGGGTTCGATAATACAAATAATATCTATAATTAATAGTATGTAATCTAATTATTCTTCTTGTTCGTCTTCATCTTCTTCTTTTTGTTCAAGTTCATCGGCCAATTGAATTGATTGGGAACTGGTAGAACCCGACGTTCCTTCATCATCGTCGTTTTGTGCATAAGTACGATCTTGGGAGCGAGTTTCGGCATCCAACCAATCCTTGAAACAAACACACATTTCAAGTGTTTCGGGTTTTAGACTTGTTCTTCTATTGTCTAAAACCCTTCCTGACGCACTAAAAGCTCTTTCGTAGGCAACGGAGGAGACTTGGATAGCAAAAATATCACGAGCCATTGCCGCCAAAATTGGATGTTTCATGCTTTGTGATTTCCACCAATCAAGGATGTCGAGGCCGTACTTCTCTTCGTCGTCCATGACTTTCATGAATTAGTAACTTAAGTACATTTGCAACTCCGAAACATCGCTTTGTGTTCTCCTAGATGATGATTTACTGCCTGAAAACTTAGACATCATGTTAGCAGCTTGTGCAAATAAACCTTTGGCCCTTTTACTTACATTTTTGGATGATTGAGAAGAAGCAAATCGAGACACGGTTCCATATTTAAATTCATAAACTCTATATAAGGAAAAAAATTGATAGGTCACATTAGTTTTATAAGATTCAACATCATCTTCAAATTTCATGCATTGAAAATAAATATCAATTAATAAAAATGTGCCATTATACTTTTGCCTTAGATCTAATATAGAAGCAAAAGTATAAATCATAGGAAGAGTAGTGTAATATTTTCGCCATTTTTCCTCCATTGATGGAAGATATCCATCATAATCGTGTTGTAATTGGTGTTCATCAAAAAGTTGTGCAAGTAAACCTGCATTGCTAAGAAAAGAATGAGCACAAGGATCATAAATAGAAGAAAAACAATGTATCATACTATATAATAATTGTAAAAACTGCATATATATTTTTCATTGTTAGACCAATCATCATCTAATAAAGCAAATTGTGGAAATTTTTTATTATAAAAAATTGTTAATGGACCTGTACTCGATTGCCATACTCAACATTTCATAGATGGAGTTCCACCTAGTTGCACAATCCGTTTTGATTTTAATACCCTTTATCCTTTGTTGCCTGCAAAAAGTTTTTGATTCCTGAAATCTCATGTTAGAGTTGTTAATAGACATAATAGTATTTCTAATTTTGTGATAAAATGGACCAATTGCTTGGGTTCCATCCTTCACACACAAGTTTAGAACATGAAAAATGCATCAAATATTACATCGGTCAATTGTGCTTTAACTAAATTTGCACTAAATGTCATAGAAGTTGCATTATCAAAAGTCATAGACATGATTTTGGACCTAAGATTATATGCATCAATAGCTTGCATTAAATGATGAGAAATATTAAGACCGGTGTGGGGGTATTCAAGCAATTTAAATGGATAATGTGTTTTTGTAATAACCAATCAATATCCAACCAATGACAAGTCACACACAAATAGTGATATCCGTAACCACTATCCCATGCATCAGCAGTCAAAGAAACTCTACGAGTAAGATTACTCAATTCATCATATAACTTCAATTTATACTCTTGAAAAGATTTCATGGCAGCCGAACGGACGATTTTTCTAGAAAATTTTTTATGTGTTGGGGTTGTAGTGCTCAGTTAATGTAATTGTTAAAGGGATCATTTTCGGCAAAAATAAAGGTTTGTTCGGCATGTACTAACATTCTCCCAAGCTCATCCCTATCTCTCTCATAATTGTAAGTGAAGCCATGTGGATGGAATTGAGAAATTTTGGGTTGGGTTGGATCAGTAGATGGTTCACCACATTTTCTTACATGTCTAGTAAGGTGTCCCGTCCCTCCCTTGGTTTCGGCCAAGTAAATTTTCTTACATGTCTTACACTTGGCTTTAGTTCCATCTCTACTTAATTGAAATTGTGCCCAAACATAACTCTTTGTGTTGGTAGCGGCTTGTTCCTCTTCGGTACACCATTCTATTGTGTTTGAAATTTGGGTGTTTGGCATTTTGGTGGATTGTTCACTCGACCCGACGACATGTGTTTGGCTACCTTGACTAGTAGGATAAGAAAATTCATGTTGTAAGCCGTATAAATGAGGTGAGAATTGGTTTTGTTGAAATCCCGAACTAGACATTGTCCAAGGAGACATATTGTTAAATTGTTCGAATCCTCCCATGGTTTGGGGATGAAAGAAGGGGGTGGAAGTGTTCGGAATGGACATGTTAGGGGAGGGCATTGAAGTGTTTGAATTTGGTAATTCCGTACTAGTACTAGTATGTTTTGACTTGGCTTTCGTAGAGGAGGAGGAAGGGTTCGGGTTTGATGCCATGATTAATAATAATAACAATAATAATAACAACAACAATAACAATAATAACAATAATAATAAGAACAATAATAATAACAATAATAGTAATAATAGTGACAAGAACAATAATTATAACAATAATAATAATAATAATAATAATAATAATAATAATAATAATAATAATAATAATATCAACGTTGTTCGTGATACCCTTGTTGATATTTGTTTCCGCTCTGGGAAGTCTGCAAGGAAGGAGGTCAACGTTGCGTTGACTGGAGGGAACGACGGGGCTCTTCGACCAGCAGATGTGTTGCTTTACTCCTGGGATAGAGGCCTAGATGTATGTGTTGACTTGACGGGGTTTTCTCCATTAACACAATCTGGGCTGTCTGACTTCGTTCCTGGTCGTGTTGTGTCGGCTGCAGCTCAGCGGAAGCGGGACAAGTATGGGGCGCGTTGCAGGGCTATTGGCTATGATTTTCTTCCTTTTTCCTTTACTTCATTGGGGGAATTAGAGAAGGATGTTGTTGCGTTGCTGAAGCGGGTTCAGGCGTTCGCTAGGACTCAGGATATTGGTGTTCGTGCGGCTGCTCACATCTTCAACAGGATTGGGTTCGCTATAGCTAGAGGGGTGGGGGCCCAGATTGTATCTCGGCTCCCCACTAATTTCTTATAAATCATTTGACTTTGTAGTTTTTTGTTATAATAATAATAATAATAATAATAATAATAATAATAATAATAATAATAACAACAACGTTGAGTTAGATCTTACAACGACGCTTCGATTGCTTTCCGCTAATTAATCTCCCGAACTTATAATTTTTTTTATTAATTTTTATAATTGAGAGAATTAAAGATTATACGATATTTTTTTTTAATTTTTTTTTTAGAAGTGGAGATTATAAGAGAGTAGGAATTAGAGAATAAGAGAATTAGAGAATAAGAGATTTGAGAATAGATGAGTTGATGAATTGTGAAAAAAAAATGGAGGAAGAAGTGAAGTATTTACAGGAAAAATGATGAATTAGCCGTTAGAGTGGTTGTTGGAATATAGTCGTTTATGGCTGTTGGAAGTTGTGGAAAGTAGCCGTTATGCATGGGCTAGATTGTGCCAGGCGGGCCGCGTGCCATGCTCGCGGGTCGGCCTACGGGCCAAACGACCGTGCCGACCATCGTGCCCGTGCTGATTTATTAAAATTTTGTTCACGGCACGGCCCACGACCCACTGTTAGGCCAGCGTGCCGTGCCGTGCCTATGGCAAGCTCGTATCGAGCTGTGCCACCACCGTGCCGTGCTTGTGCCGTTCGTGGGCCGGCACGGCCCATGCCCACCTCTACTGTTATAATCTCGTTTTACCAAAGCAAAACGGGAGAGACGGTAGAAACGACGAGTTTATGTTCATCAAATAGCAAGTGATACCGAGACAGACTCAGCGAGCACTCATTTTGCACACAGGGTGGAAAGAGAAAGAGAGATCACTCCACTTCACACCGACACTCTCACTCCACATAGTTCGCTGAGATTGCTGGAATCGAAGAAGCTTAATCTTCAGCAGAAAATTCATCTATTCTTTGTTATCATTATTTTCAATTAATTCCCAAGATCTCATCCTTCTTTAATCGATTGTTTGAGTGATCAGAGTAATAGAGAAAAGGAGAATTACAATTAGAATTAGTATTGGGAAATGGCGAATTGGCCTCCTGCAATTCTGCTCTTCGCCCTGTTAATTCCTTTGCTTTTCAATGCCGTTTCCTGTAAAACTCTTAAACGTGATGGTAATTTTCTCTATTTTCTGTGTTTTTATTTTTGGGGTTTGATCTAAAATCCCTAAATTGTTTGATTATTGTTCATTTATGATCATATATATTGGGAATGAATGATTTGTGTTTGATGCCTTTGTAACTGGAAAAAATCCCCTTTTTTGTCATCTGTTTGATCTATTTTGAAAGATAGGGAAAGGGAATTTCTCTTTTTTGGATGATAGGTTATTGTAGATTTTCCATTTTAAGTAGTGGTGATGTTACTGGAAAGATATTGTTACCATTTTTCGAATCAAATTCCGAAATTGTGTTGTTCATTCTGTATGGAAATTGATCTCCTTGTTTGCGTTTGAGGTGTCCCTTTGTATATATCTTGTTTGATTAATTAGGGTTACAATGTTGGAGTTCCGGCTTTGTTTTTATTGATAGATGAAATTTTCCTGTTTTGAGACAAACAATTATCAATGATTCGAGCATCGTAATGTCGATAACATGGATAGATGGTGTGCTTCTGATCCTCCGTTAGTGAATTTGGCAGACCTAAGTTACGGCAAGGTAGGGGGTTAGATGTAAGCTGCTGTATCTATGAACCGGCAAAGATGCTTTCTTAGTCCAAAGGAGCTCCCCAGAATGGACTTTGACTCTTAATTCAAAAGGCACCCCATTTGTATATTTTTTTTTCTAATGTTTGATGTAGGTTTGCTTGGATTCCCCTGGTCTAACTGGGTTTTTTTTTGTTTAGGGTTTCTCGAGTGAGATTTTAACTTACCGAGTTATGTTTTTGCAGTGAAAGCATTGAATGAAATAAAGTCATCGCTTGGATGGAGGGTCGTTTATTCATGGGTTGGTGATGATCCATGTGGAGATGGTGATTTGCCTCCTTGGTCTGGTGTAACATGTTCTGTTCAAGGGGATTATAGAGTTGTTACGGGACTGTATGTCAAACTATCTCCTTCTTTATCAAAATTTTTATTTCTAGGATTATGTAATGTCTCTTATTTTAAATTAATACATAAAGAAAAGTGCTATGCAAAAAAAACACATTTCTTCTTCAATAAAACTGTTTTTTTTTTTTTAGGTTTTTGCATATTTTTACAAATTAAAAGACAGGGAAGAATTGATTTTGGTTTATGATTTGCATTGTTTATTTAACTTGCAGGGAAGTTTACGCTGTGTCAATTGTTGGTCCATTTCCCATTGCTGTTACTAATCTGTTGGATCTTCAGAGGCTGTAAGTGTCTTTAATTCCTTGGTTTACACTATTAGCATTCATAGGTGCTGATGACCTGAAATCCGTTATTTACATAAATATACTTGCATGACAGGGACCTACACAACAATAAGTTGACTGGGCCAATTCCTCCTCAGATTGGACGATTGAAGCGCCTGAAAGTTCTGTATGACCCTTATGTCCTTATTCAATAATTTTGGTTTTTCCATTGTTTTGATATTCTGTGTGTGTGAATTAAAAACTATATGACTTCTAGATAATGGGAAATCTAGTTGAAGTTTTCCCATGATTATTTACGCTGCTGTACATAGTGTAGTTTCTCTCCTCTCTCTTTCTTCTTGTGTGTTGCGGGCAATGTTACTTGGTCTCCTAATACCCCACAAATTATTATAAAAAACACGTGAATTGGTATGCATTGGATTAGTTTCACAAAACCAGATAGCGAATTGCTTTTCTGTATCCATTGCGTGTACCGACATGTACCGTAAACTAGTAACACTTGCAGGCGAAATGAGAACTATTTCTATTAAAGTAGTTTTTGGTGACATTCATGAGAGTCCTTTAAAGTGCTTTGTGGTGGCAATCATTATTTTCTTGTAAAGTGGTTTGTGATTGTGTTTACGCTTTGTTAAAAACTCGGGGGTTCCTTTCAGAGAGTAAAGCTCCAGTTTAAGTAAAACAAAAACAAATTATTTGAAAGAAAGACGTGATGGATGGTATTGGTTTGCTTGTCAAGTTGTAATAAGTTAAGGATCATTAGTATTTTAGATATTTTTTCTTGGGTATGGAGAATTGGAGATGTTGAAGAATATTTCACCCTTCTACAATCTACAAAGACCATAGGAAAAGGGGAGATGAATGGACCCAATGCACACACCCAAGCCACCATTACGGGTCTATACTCGAAGGATGAAACAACTTGAGACACAAGACAAAGAGGGAAAGGACAAGCAGCAACAGGGGTAAAAGGAGGACAGTATGGCAGATGTGGACAAAACTCATTAATGAAACTCTAGGGAGGGAGCAACAAGAGTTTTGCAGAATTGATACTCTGATTGAGTAGTGACAAATGTAATTATTACAAGGTTATCTTTTTGTAGCTTTCTTGATTATATAAGGAGAATTAGTGTAACAAAAGAGAGCATGAGATTGGTGATATATATTTTGTAAGGACGGGACTAGTAGCCTCAAGTTACTAAGGAGAGTGAATAGCCTCAAGCTATCTTTTGTGGAGATCAATGTATAAAAAGGCTCAAGGTGCAATGAAGCGATGAAGGTCTTACTGCGCCTAGGCACGCCTTGGCCGAGCTTCGGTGCGCCTCTTAGAAGTGAGGTGCACAATCTAAAACCATTAATGAAATTTGTCTATGTACGCCCTAGGTGCACCTCTTTGAATGCACCTCACCTAGAGAAAAAAGGCGCTCTATCCTAATTGCCTAGCGCCGAGGCGCGCCTTACAGGAGAGTGTCCTGAATTTTTTTTTCCTATGAAATATCTACTGACATATGAAGGAAAGTAATAGTAGATAAAGGGTGTTGGCTAGTCAAGATGAGGATGCTCCACCAGATGCTTGGTTACCTAATTATACTAGGGTTATGAGCACAAACATGAATGGTGTCTGTTATGGGCTAATGGGCCACATTACCTCAATTGAGGAAAAAATGAAGCAAAGTTTAGAGATTTTGGAACATGTAGTCAAATAGATGTGATGCCTTAATTCTAAGTGAGGAGGTGTAGAATATTCAAGATACTGTTAGGGATGGGGGTACCTAGAAGAATGTGTGGTGTTTAAGTTGGCCTTAAGCCTCTATACAGTGCTTCCCCAAAAAGGGTCCCTGTCCCATAGCTCTTTAAGCTGTACTTTTTGTTATTGTTTTATTCAATAATTGCTTCCTTGTGGTTCTGCCTTTTCTGTTATCATTTTTTACCCTTTACATTGTATATTTAACTTATGCTATCACGATTCTTTTCAATAAGGAATAGTAGTATATGGACACAAAATGGGTGACACCCATTTACAGTTGAAGGACTAACAACCAAAGAATCCCATGTCACTGTCGCCAACTTCAACAATTGAAATAACTTAAAAAACAACCAAATTATTCCCAAGCCAAAGAAACATTGACATTCTTATGTACACAATCATGAAAGAATATCTAACGCTCATAGGAAGCTCTTGGTTCAAATTATACAAAAGATCATGCAGGAGAATTGATGGTGTTAACAAGCTATTGCACTCAAAATCTGCTGACTCCTTTTCTTCCATGTGCATCACTAAATTGCTGCAGAATCCAGACCTCCTAATCCATTTATCCTAAACCTTTTCTCCCAGGTAAACAACACACATCTGACGTGTTATTGTTGAATTGATCAAAACCAAAATAAATTATAAAATCAGTCTCGAAGAAACTATCCAAGGACTACGAAGCAATAGTTGGTCAATTGATTTCTTTTTTACCTTATATTCAGGGTTGATGTACCTACCCACCCAGTTTTTTCTTTTCTTTTTATTTTTTATTTTTTATTTTTTTTATGAGCTTCCTTCATCAAAATCTTCCAAAGAAATAGGCATTAGACAGAGTCTGTGAACTCCATATATTCTCTGCAAGAAAGTCATATTTCTCAATCCCTGCGGGTAAGTTGTGGTACCTGGCGTACCTCCTACTAGAATTAGACATAGTATCACCACCATCATTCCTTTAAACAACAATGCCATCCTCTTCAGGATCAAAATCAACTATGGGCTGCAACTCCAATGGCCTGATAAACCAAAGTTATGATATTCCTGTTCTATTATTATACAGTGTTTAAAGGCAAATCAGGTTAAAATGCTATGAGCTGTGGAGATAGTCTTGGCCTCATTTCTATGATTATATTCATTGTATTTGCTTAGATAATCATCCATTCTCAAACTTGGTGTTTTTGCCTTGTAGGAATCTGCGATGGAATAAGCTGCAGGATGTCCTACCACCTGAAATGGGTGAACTGAAAAGTTTGACTCATTTGTAAGAAATCTTGACTTAAAAAGTACAATTTCTTTATTTGCTGCTGTTTCTTTGTATTTTTTCTGAATGAAAGATGTTAAATTCTACCTCCACAGATATTTGAGCTTTAATAGTTTCAAGGGGGAAATTCCTAGGGAGCTGGCAAATCTTCCTGCACTGCGGTATTTATATTTACATGAAAACCGTTTTGTTGGGCGAATTCCTGCAGAATTGGGCAATCTGCAGAATCTTCGGCATTTGTAAGATTTTATAAGCGAACTATTTGTTTTTTTTTCCCATTCTTTTAATACTGTTTTCTTGATCGGTAATGATGTTACAATCATCACCATTTCAAATTATAATAATTCTCTTCTTTGTAGGGATGTTGGTAACAATCATCTAGTTGGTACAATTAGGGAACTCATACGCATTGAAGGATGCTTTCCTGCCCTTCGTAATCTGTAAGTTATTGTATAGCAGTTGCCTGTATGGCTGTATCATTTGTTTGCATTGTTAACCCCACTAACTTCTTTGACCTGCTGTCTAGCTATCTGAATAATAACTATTTGACTGGAGGAATTCCGGCTCAGCTAGTAAATTTAAGGAACTTGGAGATCTTGTAAGTAACTCCCCCCCCCCCCCCCAAAACCCAAACCCCTTTTTTTTTTTTTTTTGACGAGTTGTACAGTTTATTCTCTTAAGCTGGTTATTTCTCTCTCTTAAATCATACGAGAAATTTATGGTTTGCATTTGTCACAGGCATCTGTCATACAACAAAATGACTGGAATAATTCCATCTGCCCTTGCTCGTCTTCCTAAATTGACATATCTGTAAGTCTCAACTCTTAACTGCCTGTATACAGTGAAATTTGAGCTGCTGAATCCTCTATAATTTAATGCATTGAAATAACTGCAATCTGTTATTGGTCCCTAGTTTAAAAATATAGAAAAGAAATTTTTGGTGTTGATAATCTTTACATGATTTATAAGAATGATCATTGTACACCCTTAATTCAGGATTCCAAAACCAATTTTGTCTGTCTTCTAGTGTGCTTTTAAGCTTAAGGACTCCTAGTACTTTCAAGTTTGGTCATTTGGGGAAGAGTTCAAATTCTAGATCGACTTTTTGGCATGCTGACAAAATTATACTCGAGATCACATGGCTACGCATTGTATCATTTATCAAGCTCTGTAATTTTCAGGTACCTGGATCACAATCAATTTAGTGGGAGAATTCCTGACGCATTCTATAAGCACTCATTCTTGAAAGAAATGTGGGTTCTCTAAACCTTTTGAATCATAGAAACTACATAGTGTATTATAGGGAACCTGTAAGGCTGTAACCATTTGCTTTGTGATGTGTTTATGCAGGTATATTGAAAGCAATGCATTCAGACAAGGCGTAAACCCAATAGGTGTTCACAAAGTACTTGAAGTCTCGGACACAGAGTTCTTGGTCTGATTCAGAAACGCCCCTATTCTTTATCTGTCTCCACATCCCACTCCCTCCACCCCCTCTCCAAACTAAAAAGAAAAGAAAGCTTTTACGGGGAGAGGTGTACTCATTTGAGCTTGAAATTGAATTTTGGTTGAGGCTCCTAAGTGTAGATGAAGAAATTTGCACCCTTGTTTGTAGGTACAGAATGAAAAATGTATGAATGTTAGCCATGATGGCAGCAATTAGCCATTTGTTATTATTAAAGAAATTATAGATACTGATTATATTGATTATATTATTTATGCTATTATTATTTATTATTATCTGTATAATGGCGTTGTTATTATCGTCGATATTTTTTTTTTTTTTTGAAACCTATTATCGTCGATATTGGATATGAAGAAAATTTACTTGTCGTCTGATTGAATTAGCTCTTATCTTTACGAGAAATCTTCAAACAAAACCAACCTAAAATAGATTAGCTCTCAGTTTATGTACCCAGATTCATCTGAACTTTAGGTACATCAATTATATTTTTCTCTTTACCAAAGAAATAATTATGTACTTCTACCGAGGAAGTCCCAATTTTTTTTCTACCGAGGAAGTCCCAATTAAATTACAAAATCGTAAATAAATCAATTAAAATGTTCCGTATCATATTTTTGTCATCTGATTGGATTCCATCCTCAATTCTCTACCCGATCTCCCTAAGTTGGGAGGTTGGAGTGTGAGGATCCTTTTTGGGGAATTCAACACCAAAATATCTCGCATCGGCTAGTCAAAAGCATCGGCTAATTTAATAAAAGGCGTCACAGGAAAGGTGACTCGCGCAGACAGCTGACCCAACTGATTGGTTATTATATCAACACTTGTGGACCTATTTTATTAAAAAGTTACTATATTGATTTATGTATAGTTTTGTCACTTATTTATTAGGGTGATAAACCCTTTTTTTTTTTTTTTTTTTTTTCTCTTTTTCTATTTTTTTCGTAGGATATACATACGAGTATTCTCAACCCTATCCTTTCCTTCAACATTTTTTTGTTGTTTTTTAAAGCAATCTTTTCCTTCATATTTGAGTTTATCTTATTTTTTACTTCAGATTTTCATTTTTACCTTGTCCGTGAAATAACCATATGTACTAAAAGAAATCTAACTATTCAAATAAATTTCAGTTGTCAGCTGCTCTTGTAGCTCAGTTGGTTAGAGCACCCGTTTAGTAAGCGGGAGGTCTTGAGTTCGACTCTCAACAAGAGCAATCCAGCTTTTTTTTTTTTTTTAGGGATTTTCGAGTTTTCATTGCATAGGAAATTAGTTTTTTGTTTTTATTTTATTAACTATATGTCCGTACGATGCACGGTTTGATTGTATTTTTATGCGATAAAATTTATTATTTTTTTCATTGTACGTTGGATATCATTTAATATTTGCTATATATTTAGATATAATTCTCAATGTCAAAAGATAATGTTTTAAATTTAATTAATTTAAACTCTAAAATTTCATTCGTCATATGCGGCACGTGAATTATTTAATTCTAAAAAGAAATCACAAATCTCTTATTTAATTGGCTATAACTAAAGTTTATAATTCTATATGACGCGTTAAAAAATTATAATCCTATTTGGCGCTCTAAAAACTCTGGGAAAAATCTCCCTAATTAATTTTTTTTACAGATTAATATAAATTGTCGAGCACGGTAGCTGTTAATATTCGTTGTACCAGGATGTAGGATATAATCAGTTTATTTGGGATAGATTTATCTTTTCTACAAATTTACTATCATTATGTGTAGAAAACAACACATTTATCCAATCTTTAAGGATAAAATAGATCATCGTCATCTCTAATTAATAATAACATTTCTATCCATAATTTAGCTAATCTAACATCATTAGGTGTCTCCATTATATATACATAGCCATATGCATGTCATCTCGTAACATACAGAAAAAAGAAAAAAGAAAAAAGAAAAAAGAAAGAAAAAAAAAAACCAAGAAATCTGTACAATTCCATTATAATTCCAAATATAATGGAATTGTATAGATCAAGTATTATATACATATTTTCGTTTCTTATAGTAATTAGTTCTAATAAATTATGTCTTGGAATTAGTAATAATGAGGTGAATGAAGTTAAAGTGACAATTAGAGGAGCAACATCAATTGCAAAAACAGATGACAATTTTATATGTGCAACTTTGGATTGGTGGCCTTCAAATAAGTGTAATTATAATCAATGCCCTTGGGGAAAAGCTGGCATTCTCAATCTGGTACGTACCAATTTTTTTTAATTTTATTTTGGGTTTATTAGACAAATTATAATATGTATGAAGAATGAGAATAAATTTGTGTGATGAATTGCAGGATTTGAGAAATAAAGTACTGAATAATGCTGTCAAGGGTACGTATGCTCTCATATTTACCTTCCTAAGTTCTTTCTTTTATCACGTGCTATTAAATCTAGTTAAACTGGTTTTATTATGAATTTTAAAAATATTGACTTTTTAATTTTTTTTATGGAGTATATACTCGTATTAAATTTAGCTAGATTGATTTTATTATGGATTTTAAAAGTATTAACTTTTTATGGAGTATATATTAAATTTAACTAGATTAATTTTATAAATATTGACCATATATTATTAAGCTAATGAATTAAGTATAGAGTATGAATAAATAATTGATAGATTTTGGTCTTAATACATTCGTCTTGATTTTATTTTATTTAATTAATAAATAATATATCACCTTGATATAATGTTACTCCTTATTATTCACAAAATTGCTTTACTATTATTGTCTCTTTGTAATATGTTACGTGAGACTTTAAATTTCAAAACGCGAAGCATACGAAGAATTTTAGTAAATGATGTTCTTTTGTTTGAAACGTGCTCAAAATTATTAATTGTGTGCAGCATTGAGTCCACTAAGATTAAGAGTTGGAGGATCACTACAAGACCAAGTGTTTTACAACGTTAGAAAGCCTACAAGCAAATGCCAGGAGTTTTCCTTGAAGAGTGACGGCATGTTTGGGTTTACCAAGGGTTGCTTGAAAATGCAAAGATGGGATGAGCTTGCTCAGTTTTTCAGTAACAACGGGTAATTATTAATACTTGCATCGTTACATTTATTATCGAATTAACAAGTTCATGGTCTCATATAGTGACCACAAGAAAATAGTCTTGCGTGCACTTATACTACATGTATAACTCTATTTACGTGTTACATTATGAGAATTGATCGAACTTAGTTTAAATTGCTAATTTGCAGGGCCCTAGTAACATTTGGGTTGAATGCCCTCACCGGGAGGGAAAAGGTCAAGGATGATGATCTTTACATAGGAGATTGGAATTATCAAAATGCACAAGATTTTATAAATTACAACATCTTTAAGGGACACAAAATTGACTCTTATGAACTTGGTACGTCGTTGTTTACTTGATATATTTAAGAGTTTTATTTGTTACAAATCTTACTATGAGATTAATATAAGCTACATGATTAATTTTGATGATTTATATTATTATTAGGAAATGAGCTATGTGGAAATGGGGTATCAGGAAGAATAGAGGCTGAGCAATATGCTAAGGATATGGTGGTACTTAAAGAAATAGTCAAAAAATCGTACCCAAATCCGATGACCCGGCCCAAGGTACTGGGTCCAGGAGGTTTCTTTGATGAAAAATGGTTCAGCACCTTCTTACAACAATCAGGACCCAATGTTGTTGATGGTTTAACCCACCACATTTACAATCTTGGTGCTGGTATGTATACTAGCTAGTAATCTAATACAAGTATAAAATTTACTTTACTTGGTTTTTAAACATATTTGTAAAAATTTGTGTTTCTTTGTTTGTGTTTAGGTGTTGATAAGGATCTCATAAACAAGGTTCAAGATCCAAATTTTTTGACCTTAGTAGCTCAAACATACAAAGATGTCTCCAGGGTTGTGGATCGGTTCGGGCTGTGGTCTGAGGCCTGGGTTGGCGAATCCGGTGGAGCGTTTAATAGTGGTGGCAAAAATGTTTCCAACACTTTTGCTGATGGCTATTGGTCTCTTTCCTCATACATTTTTTTCTCATTTTTCTTCATGTTACATGTTATACTTACGTATACATAAATAACATAATAATACATTACAAATGTTTGCACAATATAGTATGTGTCCTGATTTTTGTTTGTTTTTGTGGGAATAGGTACTTGGATCAATTGGGTATGACAGCGTCCTTAAACCATAAGGTCTTCTGTAGACAAACTTTGATCGGAGGGAACTACGGGCTTCTCGACACCACTACCTTCATCCCTAATCCCGACTTTTATGGGTGAGTACTAATTTTTTCCGGTATTTATAGTGGTGATACATACAATATTTTACTTTTGAAATGTTAAGATAATATGACAATTTTATTCAAAAAAATGTTGGTACCACACAAAATCTCGTTTCAGGGCTTTATTGTGGCACCGTTTGATGGGGAGCACTGTACTTGCAACAACTCACACCGGCTCTCCTTATCTAAGGACATATTCCCATTGTTCAAAAACCAAAGTAAGCAATACCAACCTATTAGTGCTTTGATGTGTTGCACTACCTATGTTCGGACTTAAATAAATTACACTATCAACGTGACAACTAATTCCGGACAAAGGGAACCCCATTATTTGTCTACTATTAAGATGTAACTTGTTGGTATTAACTATTTTCTATTTATGCTATTTGCAGCCTGGGGTTACTCTACTGCTCATCAACATGTCAAATTCCACCACTTTCAACGTAGATTTAGTGAATGATCACAACTTATTCCCTGAGCCAAGAATGACAAACACAAGGCCGTGGTTACAAGAACGAGAAGAGTATCATATAACCCCGAAAGATGGGAATATTCGGAGCAACCAGGTTCTTCTTAACGGGAAGTTATTAACGCTAACTCAGACATCGAACATTCCTGAGATGAAGCCTGTGTTTGTGACGACTTTTTCACCTATCAAGATTGCACCTCATTCATTTGTTTTTGTTACCATTAGGAACTTACAAGCGCCTGCATGTAATAGTTTCTATGATTTTTTTAATGTGAACAATTAAATTAAATAAAGCAATAACAACATTCTCCTTCAATTCTTCTGAAATTTTCGATCTCTAGAAACAAATTTTCTGATTTCTACAGAGGACAGAATGACGAAGAACACAAAAGAAAGAAAGGAGCTTACGTACAGCTTCATAAAAAATAGCCTTTTTATTTACTGCTTGTGTAGTTGTGTCATGTATACATACAGATGGAAGTAAAGAATGAATTTAAATCCAACTACTACAAGTAAAAGAATGGAAAGAATGAACGGAATTTCAACCTCTAACAACAGTGGAAAAATTACAGAATGAATATTATAAAGATCAATTACAGAAGGAAGGAAACTGAGGTTACTGATCTAAAATCACTTATTAAGTAGATGGCGAGTACGCTGGTTAGCCCCTTTCACCCTGGAGTTCAACTCGTCCATGTCAGAGTCAAGATGATCAAGTGCTTTGTTTTGCCTGCAATCCAAACACCCATCAGAACATTCAAAGGCGAGTAGCACAAAACAAGCTAGGTAGAAGTTAAAGTAATGCAAGTAATAAGGCAAGAAGAAAAGACAGCCTCCAGACTTCTTATCAAAATCAAAGGTGGCAAAGAAAAACTTACTTGTCGTGTTCAGAACCCATGTCCGCTGCCATACCCTTTAGATCACCCAGAATATTACTTAAATCTGAAAGAGCATCATCTTGCTTTTCCTTCTCCAACTAATCACATAAATACACAAGAACAAAAATATTTAAATCAAGAATCAAGCTAAAAGCCTAAAAGTAGATACTTCTGATAATTTGATCAAAAGACTAGTGCTATGTCATAAGAAATATTACAGACCTCAACTTTCTGCATGGTTGCTGATTGTCCAGAAGGTGGTGTCTTATTACTTGGCTTTCCTTTTGGTACAGGAGCAATCTTTAACTTTTCTTTCTGCTCTTTTGTTGCACTTTTGGATGGTACATCTGACAAAATAATGAACAAAATATCCATTACACAGCTACATAATTTGTATTTGGGGTCAAAAGAGATGAGCAAAACATAAAAAGAGATGAATTAAACTAAATACGTAAGAGGTGAAAGAGAACCTGGTGACATTAACGGCCCTGTTATGCTACGAGTTTTCTTTGGCTTCCATGTCTTGGAGAACATTCCCCCAAGACTGTTAAGCAGCTTTTCTCCCTGAGTAAATCATGTCAAAAGAACAAACATGTCCCTTCATTCCATCAGAGTAATTCATTGGATGAAGTGATATTATTCAAATGCTTGTGTATCAATCTACTGAGCCTTATACACATGATCATCTACAAAAACTATGGCTAAATGGTGTTGAAATAACTGTAGCATATTGCACGATAGAACTCAAGAGGAATCTACAATGGAACAACATACAAAAAAATGCACAACTATATCCATTATCCTGCATTGCCATACAAACATCTAATTTGGCTGAAGTAGTGGCATGCCAACATAATATGCTTACTATTTTAATATATGACCATGCTGTACGATTCCAAGTTTATTAGTCCCCAAAATTTACATTTCTACTTATACATTCAACCAAGGGGCACAATGTTGCATAAATTTCTTCTATTTAAGTTGCATTCACACCATTGATAAACCCGAAATCAATATTCCTAATAGTTTCTTAACATCACACGGAAAGTACAAAGTCAAAACACGAATACTCTACCCTCTTAACATCACACACCCAACAACTTATTCATCCATATAAATTATCCCCTAGGCCATAGCTCACAAAATCAACAACTAACAAACATACATCGCGAAAATCAAATTATTGAAGCCCCTTATAAACTTGCAACCTGTGTCCATTTCCATACATTGTTCTAACACAAAGAACCACATTAACATCATAAGAAGCAAATTAAAGATATACCTTACTCAAATCCTGGTCAATACCGACAGCCATCTCGTGAGTCCTATGAATTTGCTCGCCTTGTTGATGCAAGGTTTCTAAGTGTTTTAGTAGCATCCTCCCTAATATCCTCAGCAATCTTAAGACAATTGTTGACAGACTTAGTTGTCTCTTCAGCCTTATTAACTGCATATCCCTCAAGCTCCTGCATGGACTTGTTCTCCAGGCTGTCATTAAGGTCTTGAGAGACCAATATAGGCTCAGACGATGTTCGCCTCGATCGGAGGCCTGATTCAGCATCAAGATGTGCAGGACTAGCTGCAGTTGATGCTGAACCTTTTTTCCTAAACCCAAACATTGTTGAAATTTTCTGTCTAAAGGTATTTTTCTAGGAATTCAAACTGTACACCCTGAAAATTTCAAACCCTAACATCAATAATCTAGATTGGAAATTTGTATAGTAATTAAAATTAGGTAAATGATTAATTACAATGCATTTCTATATGCTTTAATTCAATTCATAGTAATATCAACAATAATAACACGAATATAAATTCATCAAACTCGGATAATAAACAATTCCATTGGTCAATTAATCCATAATTCTAGATGCATAATTGATATTCAAACATAGACAAATAATACTCGTACATCAATTCAAGGGAAAAACGATAAATTTACCTGAAAATTAACAAGAAAATACAAGAAAACCAGAAAATCGAAATAATGTACCTGAAAATTCCACGATATTCGAAGTGGGTTTAAAATGTAGGTGATTAAATGGTACAAGAATTACGAAGAAAAAAATTTAGGGTAAAATCAAATTTTAGGAGAGGGGAAAATTGAGGAAAAGGGAAATTTCAACGCAATGAAGAGAGAGAAAGAGAGGGGTGGGTAAAATTAGAGAGATAGAGCGAGAAAATTGAGAAATGGTGGGAATGAAAAGATGATTGGCGCTCCAGAAACAGAGCCAGAACAATATTTTCCCCTCCTTTGACATTTCGACCGTTATATCGTGCTTAACATATTTTGGGTCAACCATCAACTCTATTTCTTTTCTTTCTCCTCCTTATCTCGCTATCCAGATTTATTTGTCACATTATTTTGTTTACTCGCTTTTTCATAGAATTATTTATATCTACCAATACATTATTATAAATAGTTCATAGCTTATAAAAATTACTGAATTTTTTTTAACAACAAGCATATTTGGTTTTAAATTTTTTAAAAATTGGCTTAGCAAAACTAATTTGCTTGGGCATGCTAATTGCCTTTTCAAGCTCCAATGGTCAAGCTAGCAGGTAAAGATTATTTAATATTTTCAATCAAATTTCTAGCTACAACCATTAGAGTTGCTCTAATGACCTTAAATCAAATGTGGTTTACATTAATTGTGCTTTATGAAAATGATGGAATTTCTAGGCCTATTGATAGAATAAGAGACTAAGGGTTAGAAATGCTTTTTTATTTTTATTTTTGCAAGTATTTCATTTTATTATAGGTGAGATTGAGACTCGTGAGAGTGACATGATGTCACTATTCCTCATAATCATTTATGGAAATTTTTAAGAAAAAGAGAAGTGAAATTCTTTCTCCAAGATAAAAACAAAATTAGAATATTATTTTGAATTTTTGATGGTAGTCATAATATTATTGGAAGATCTCGCATTGGGATTTTGGAGGACCGGTTTATTTATTGATTCAATATGATTCTAGTTAGCATAATTGATAATTTATCCGGATCTTGTATCTTCGAATTTCCGGTCTTTATGAAGGTCTACGTCTGATCTAGTGTAAATCGATGATCAACTTAGCCTTACTTGTGTTACATGACATAATTGACATTAGTTATCAAAATATCAAATTAGCAAAATATGTAGAAAGTTATCTTTTTTTGCAGAAATTTTTACTGTATGATGAAAATAATTTACAAGTTGTATTACAAGTGGCTATCTATATGGAATGATCTTGAATTAATGACAATTGGTATCTAATGAACAGCACAACAAGAAGAATTGTTAGGACAATAGGACCACAATTGAATTGTGCTCCATAAGAAACTCTAACCACTCTTATTCAACAATTTCTTATGAATGTTGATATTTTTCCTTTCCTCCTTTCCCATGGAGCAAAATTTCCTTCTAGAAGAAAATTTCTTCATGATCTAATATATCTTGTTGCTTGCTTCATGTTCCATACTTCGTACTACATTTATACAAATAATGACAACATGAATAGACCCTCTGATCCCCTCCTTCCCCATCTTGAATTAGGTATATAATTTTATACTTCACAATATTACAGTAAAATTAAAAGCCATTAAAAGAAAGATTGGTAAAAGACAACTAGGGTGGCTAACGTGCGCGATGCGCGTGCCATACCTAGTCATGTCCGAAGAGTTCTTTTGATTTGGTCTTATGTCACAAATTTAATTTTTGGTACCGTTAATGAAGAAAAATATGTAAACAAATATTTTTAGGGTATAAATATCCACACACTATTCTTCTGAGTTAAAAAATAAAAAAATAAATAAATAAACATTATTGAGTGCATATAAGTAAATAAATATTTAGGAGTATAAATGTCTGCACAAGATTCATAGGAGTTTTCTTAAACTTTTTAAAATGGTAGGGAAGTAATTTTCAATCTACCGCCCACATTATCAGTTGTAAGTATTGATTTAATTTATTTTTACTCTATCGTCCATTATCAATTGTAAATATAGATTTTATTTATTTTTGTGGTTAAATTAGAGATTTTACCTTAGACACATTTGCTAATTCAATCACTGGAAATTAGTAATTTTGTCCTATGTAAATTAAAACTACGGAATATTAATTTAAATGGAAATGAGCACTTTTGTTTACATTAAATGGTGATTGAATCAACAGTTCATTTAATAATAAACCATAAATTTAATTTGGAGATCAATTTTGTTAACTGGTAATTGAATTCGCAGTTTCGTTCTGATTACTGGAAAAATAGGTCTATTTATTCGAACTTGTAAATGAGAGTGATTACTATTTAGATTTTGTATCCCATACCAATCTAAAGTTGGACATGGTTAGGATAATTAGACATCTTCAAGCTTTTTGCATGGAAGTAATTCAATACAAGTATTAAATATGGATATGCTATGGATGTACGATTGAATAAAGTTTTCTCG